GCATGCACAATACTAATAAATTCAGAAATGGTACAGAAAATGGTACACAGAAAGGGATAAAACAAGAAGTGAAAGCCACCTTTTCCCATCTGAGTTTCTTTCTCTAAAGGTTCTTATGGTTATTTCTAGAAAAACAATTTATGCATATTCCCACGTATGTGTTTATATTTTCTTTATTGTAAAATTTACACAATAAGGATCATGCAGTACACGTTCAAGCTACATATTAGAGAGCTTTAGGAACATGTGCCACATTTTAAAATGGCTGCATGCTAGGTATTTTTTCTTTTGAGTGTATCACTATTATGGATACTTTGTTTCTTTTTGACTATTACAAATGTTACAACAAATAAGAAAAACATACTTTTAAGGAGATAAGTAATACTTTATTTCTATAATGAAATGTGTGGAGAGAGAGAGAGAGTCGGGAAGTCCTGACAAGTCTTTCTGTAACTTTGCAAATCTGACATCACAGATTAATAGAATAATTTACTGGAGCGAATTTGATGCTGAATAGGCTAATAACAAGGAAAGAAAGCATTTGTAAGCAATCCTGTAAACTGTTTTTGGAAATAAAGTATTTATCAATAGATCTAATAACATGCATCCAGAAGTTATAAAAATTTATGGCCATAATGTTTCAAGCCTATTCTAACATTCTTGAATCCTGTTAATCTTACATTAAATTATTGAGGACTTTAAAATCAAAACTGAGAAATAACAATAAAAGTGGATAAATATATAAGTAGTATTCATTTTAACTCTGGGACTAGGGAGATTTTTAGTCAGTGGTGATAGCATGTATTATAAAAATCATTTAACAGTCTACTTTTTGGTAAATAAAGGAAAATTCTGAAAAGAGTTTATTTCAGATGACTTAGCTTGAACTTTTCCAAAATACAGATTTATTTAAACATAATTATAGCCATTTTTTTTAAACTTGCCACTTCCTCAGATATGTGAGAAACATCAAATAACAAACAACACTTGAAAGTCATGAGATTGGAAATCTGTCTGACATTTTCCTCAGGAAAGCAGCGAGGATCTGTGTTACCACATTTTGTCACAAAGTTTGTGCCGGTGTAATTTGAAATAGGTGAAAAAAAGGTGCTTAGTACATCTTTTATATATAGGATAAAGTAACACCATTTAGCATTCTGTTAATATTTGGGTTCTAATTACATAGATATGTTCACTCTGGAAAATGCATTGAACTTATAATAATAGTTTACTTTTCTGTATATGTTATATGTTAAAATTTATACTAAAAATAATATATAAACTATTATAATAAGCAGAAACCAAAAATTATACATTCTCATTTTATTAATATATATTCTTAGAATGTCATTGTTTTTACTTTTTTCAGTATTAATTTACATTGATTTCCCCATTTGGGCAGTTTTTATAGCTGTAAACATTGTACGCCTATAGCCTATTTTTTCTTAATATGAGAAATGTCTACATGGTTTTCAGAATTTAACCATGAATTCTTCAAATCAAAGTTTTAGTACACATTTGAAAATTTCAAGGGTATTTGATTTTAACTTTCAATCTACAGCCCTTACATGCCTGAAACTATATTTATTTTTAAAATAATAAAAGCTGTGAGAGTTTCCATGTTAATTTTGTAGCTTTTAAAATCTTATTCTTTTCAAATATCTGTTTTCTGAGAAATCCAAACAGCATCAATCAACTTTTTAAGATTGACAGAACCAGGATTTTCAAATCATTAATTTGTTTCCCCAAACTCCCTTGTCTCTGAAGCAACTGTATGAATAGAATGTTCTTAAATAAGCAACTGCTTTTGTGATATCACTTGTCTTTCTAACCTCTGTATGATTGACTAAGTCAGAGAATACCTTTTCTCCCCTAAACTTAAGACCTATTGAAGGGAAAACCTAACTGCTCGAAGGAGATTTTATGTTATTTTAATCCATTTGCTCAAGTACTTTGGTGAAATCCAGGGCTATCTAGTAGTGGTAGAAATGCATTTGAGTATGAAATATTGTTTAATTTTGGAGAATACCGCATGGTATTCTTGAGTTATACTTATTTAGCATTTGTCTAAGGCTGAGAATAAAAACCCTGACCAGTTTGTGTAGTGACTTCTTAAAGGTGCAATATTTTCTAACTGAAAAACCTATCCCAGCTTCCTGTTTAAACCTCATCCCCAGCCAAATCCCCACTTGTTCCATTTGCTTATGTCCTGGCCATCTTTCCCTGAACATTCTAGCAGCCCTGCCTGTAACATTGCCAGGCCTGGGATGCCCTTCCTCTGTTTTTCCTTTAAGGGCCACCTCAAATGCTCCCCCTCGCTGTTTCATCAGAACTATTTGCTCTTCCTCCTCTGTTCCTGTTGCACCTGTCGCATAACTAGTATAGCAAGAGGCATGGGACATTATCATTATTTGCTTATGTGGCCCTCTGGCATTTAAGGTTGCGAGTTCCTTGAGGTCAGGGCCATATGCTATTTACCCACAGTGCCTACTGAGATCAGGCATTCAAGAAGTGTTTGTTGAATAGAATTGAGAGGTTTGGACAGGTTGGGCTTATAAGTGCCGGTTTGTTTTAGGGAAGATATTTTCTCAAAAGTTTCCCGATTAAAATTTTATACTGTCATTTCCTGAGTATTTAGGTATATGTTCCTGGATTACTAATTACCTTTTCTTTTCCCCTTGGCTGCAGCCTGCTTATGATAAAAATGCCAAACCTTTTACTTTTCAACATTTGGGACTTGGTAGATTTGATTAGGGACAAGAAACTGTTGGCTAAAAAGAAGTTTATAACTTGCCTAAAGATTTCATTTGTTATGATTTTCTTATGTTGGGGATTAACTGAAAAATACTGTAAAATTGTTGTTTATCTTGTGGTGAAAAAGTCATGAATGAAATATTGGTATATCTACTAAATTGCTAGGTAGGGAATTCTGAGAGAAAATATGATTAATATGGTAATAGTTGGTTTAGATCATGTTATATGCTGCCTTAGTTTCATAATAGTTTGAACCTTGGGTGACAATTACAGCAAAAAGCTTTCCTTAAAACAAGATTCAATAAAGCTTTACAGTGTCCTTGAAGAACTTTTTTTTGAAAAAAAGAATGCATTAAATTGACCTCTCACCATCTAGTTCCTTGTTTTTGAGACATTTACCAGAAAATGAAGAATATAGCCAGTTTTTTTCAGTTTCAAAAGCTGGTAGATAAAATCACAGTTGATTCTTTTGACAATGTTTGAAAGGTTGTTTTTTTGTTTTTTGTTTTTTTCTCATTTGACATGCAGCAAGGACATATGGGCGAAGGAGAGGTAACATTATTGTTTCTAACTTTTAAATATATCAGTTGTATTTGGAGAGGACCCAAACTTGTTCAGTTTCTAACCTTTGTGGGGAAGGGGTGAGGGGAAATGAAACATGGCTTTGATCCTTACATAGTTTTTGTGGTACAGTTAACATTTTAGACATTCTCATTTGAAGGAGTTAATGAGCCTAGAGAAATTATCAGAATAGTAGGGCGTGGATTTGAATCAAAGTGATTTCCCTATATTATATTAGAAACTCAACTTATTTATATTTGAAGATTTGCTTTTTTTTTCCTGAAAGGAATTTCTTAGGAAAAAAATTAAGAATCTTTGTAAAGGAAAATATAGTTAGACTAGTCTCCAAATACTTTGGAAGTTTGATTATACTCATCTACCTGTGTCTACTTTTTTTTTTTTTTGCTAAGTAAGCATAATACATTTGGTTTAAAATGAGATGAGCTAAATAAATGACTAATCTTATAAATTTCAAAAATTGGGGGAAAAAGCTCTAGAAATTTTAGGGAATTTTAAAGAATCATTTCCTAGAGGTGCCTGAATAAACCTGATTCTTGCTGCCTGTAATAGTTTTGCCTTTTTCCAGGAAAATAAGACTGTTAAATAGCTTAGCTTTCAAATACAAGTGATTTTAGAAAATCAGTCAGGAAATAACCTCCAATTTTATAATCATTTTTTGTCTTCATTTGACATTCAGGATATATTTGTAATAAATATACCATTATTATTTGTGTTTAGTAATGGAAATTGAAGACAAATGTGGCAACAAAAGGACATTGAAATGTTTCTTTCAGTAAAGGAAGAGCACTTGAGATACATTTCTAGAGGATCCATTAACAAATTCCTCATGTAGTACCTAGAAGTAAATTGGCAGCCTGAAAAGTGATAAAACAGTGCTTGAGAGATTCTGCAGCTATTTGTAGCTCTGTGTTTTCCTTATGATTTAAAAGTTTATATTTTGCTGTCAGGTAAATATGGGAAGACTGTCACATACTTGGCATCTCTGGTTTTTTCTGCTTATATATTCTGGATGATAAGATTTTCAAACAGCAAATTTAATGACCAGTTTTTAGAAATAGATAACATCCTTAGCAAGCTAATAATTACCCAGCTAATAATAAGTAGATCTCTAGCATTCCTAAAAATCTTTTCTGTAAAACTACACAATGAAGTTGGATAACAACATTAAGTGGGTTTTGATTATATCCCATTAGTTAAGGTAAACTAAAATGAGTGCTCACTTTAAAAATTGACCTATTCATTTTAAGCACGTTCTTAGAGGAAATTGTATAAGCTATATTGTTTGATCTTTTAAAGAAATCTAAGATAATATTTAGTGTACATGTCTAAGTTGCCAGTGGCCTTGGGGCCCTGCCAAGGCAGTGCAGTGCAACTGCTTTCTAAAGAGTGCTCTCTCTACTGTACTTCCAGTTCACCTCCCTGATGGTTTTGGATCCCACTGGGATACTTGAGCAATCCTCTATTTAACCATGTACTTTCTCTCTGACTCAGTCGGGACTTTAAGGTGATGGGAATTGAAGAGCACGTCTAAGAGATTCTGTTATTCAGTAAGAAAAATAAAAGCAGCAGTTTTATTGAATCTGCCATTTTCCTTGTTTCTTGTACATGATAATCAATGGCAAGGAACATTTTCTGTTAGCTTTTTTTCCTGCTTTCTATTCCAGGTCAGTCTTCACTGTTTCCAATGGAAGATGGATTTTTGGATGATGGCCGTGGGGATCAACCTCTTCATAGTGGCCTGGGTTCACCTCACTGCTTCACTCACCAGAATGGGGAAAGAGTGGAACGATATTCTCGCAAGGTGTTTGTGGGTGGATTGCCTCCAGACATTGATGAAGGTATATTTAGAAAGAAGTGTTTATAGCAGGGTGTCCATATGGTGGCATGTAGGGAACTCATGGGTAGTGATTGCCGTTGTTATAATAATCTTATCTGGCTCCAGGTATTCAGTCTTGATTGCATTGTTCTCTTGTTCTTTCTTCCTGTCATAGCATATAAGATTAGTTGACAGAAGGAAGGGGAGCAGGGCTGTGCAAACCATCTGAAACAAGGGATTGGACTACTTGGAAAAGAGTGTAAACATCACTGGAAAAACTTCCCAAGGATTCTATTGTTGTGGGCAAACATGGGTGCTAACTGTGTTTTTGTATATGTATGCTGCCTTGGCCAAATTCAATTATGTAATTTTTAGTTTTTCCCACTTTTTATGAGTACTCCATAAATGTATAGTTCATCGTTTAAAAGTTTAAAATCTTAGATGAAGCATGAACTTTTGAAAAATATAGCCTACCGTTGTACTATGAGAAAGGGAATCTTAAGAGTTATATCACTTTGTGAGTATTTTTTAATTCAGTAAATGTTTACATGTGTTCTAAATACCATGCACTGTTCCTAGGCTTGTTTACAAGGTGGAAGGTCTCTGCTTGCATAGCATTTACATTCTAGTGGGAAAGGCCCATAAACAAAGTGTAAACATGCAAGAAAATATCAGAGAACAAGTGTTGAAAAGCAAACAGGATGATGTGTTATAGAGATGCAGGGAGCAGTCTTAGGAAAGCCTCTTTGAGGAAGTGATATGTAAGCTGAGACCTAAATGAGGAGCCAAGCTCTGCAAAGATTGAGACTAGTTGTTCAGGAATATGCTATTCATCTGTGGGTCTAAGTGACCGTAATAAAAATCCAAGTGACAGACCTTATAGCAAACACATATCCTTGGTTGTTTTCCTAATTTCTTTTGTCTTGGTTTCCTGAAGGGAAATGGAGATAAACTAATGCATGTTATGGAGAATAGAATAGATTTCTCTAAAAATAAGATCTAATAATAAGGTGTAATAACTTCCCATTTAGACTGGGATCAAACGTACTGAGTCACTTCTTTTCCTTAAAATGATCAGTCTTGGGTGGGTGCGGCAGCTCATGCCTGTAATCCCAGCACTTTGGGAGGCTGAGGTGGGAGTATAGCTTGAGGTCAGGAGTTGGAGACCAGCCTGAGCAACATAGTGAGACCATATCTCTACCAAAAATAGAAAAATTAGCTGGGCGTGGTGGCATGTGCCTGTAGTCCCAGCTACTCAGGAGGTAGTGGAAGGAGGATCGGTTGAGCGCAGGAGTTTGAGGTTACAGTGAGCTATGATGATACCACTGTACTCTAGCCTGGGCAACAGAGCAAGACCTAAACTCAAAAAAAAAAAAAAAGAAAAAGAAAAAAAAAATCAATGTTTTGAAAAGTTGAGATAAAAATGGTTCTAAAAAGTCAAAGATTGAAATAAACACAATTTTTTTTTTTTTTTTTTTTTTTTTTGTCTATGATAAAATGTCTTGGTAGAAGCTGTGCTCAAACGTCAGGTTTGTCTGAAGCAATCTCTGCCCTGCCCTCAGAGAGCATGGCTTGAAGAATATTGTGTTCTGCAGAATTATGCACTAAAAATTATATGGTTTATGGGGAAAATAGGGTTAAAGGTAAATCATTTAAAACCTAATGAACTTTGTACCTGAAGCACTACCAAAAAGAGAATTAGTAGCTCGGTGATAACTTGGATAATTCAGGCAAATTGCTCAGCATGCTTGGGACTGCCTCAAGGAATATTGAAAATGCACAAAAGCAATAAAGTGGAAATGTTGGCTTGCAGGCGTGGAGACAACGCAGATGGAGATGGGCCTTTGAACAGCGAAGAAGTTCACGCTAAACCCAGGAGTAAGGGCTGAGGGTACCACTCTCTGACAAGAGAGCCGTGGTTGCCACACTTATTTTTAATTTTCTTATAACAGAGCTGGGAGGGCTCCTGCCTGTGTATCAGACAAACTGGGGGCTTTTTCCTATCCTGATGAAGGTTACAATTCTAGCCTTACTGTGCTAGCTCACCTTGCCTGGGAAAAGTCATTTATGTACCAGTACAACTTCCATGTTATACTGGCATCATTCCCCTACTTACCAGGCTCAAATGAGCAAAATTTAACATACAGACAGGTAGGTATCATAGCAGGACAGACTTTACCGTTAATAGTCTGTGAGAGATGAAAACAGTTCTACCAGATTGGAGTTTGAACATCTTCCCCATCTCTCTTTTCTTCCATCCTGCCCTATTATCAAGTCTTACCACATGTGCTTACATATTCTTTCCAGAAGTCTCTTGGAAATTTATTTTCCTATAATCTCATTAGTTGTCCAAATATACGTGTAGCATAATTAGTATTATTTAAATTAATAGTAAAATATGATCACGCCTTCCCTTTCTTTCATATTTCCCCACTTTTGTTTTCTTTTCTTCCTTTCCCTTCCTCCCAGGGAGATATTGCTGTCCCAGGAATTCGATTGGTGAGGGGGAAGAGGGTACAATTGGAGGGGTGTGTATGTGTGTGTGCGCGTGCGTGTGTATGTATATATGTGAAGGATTTTGCCCAGAGGTCTCATCAGCAGCCGACACGGTGTCCAAGAAATTAAGGCAACAAGAGCCAGGGTGCAAAGGTAGAAGGTCAAGGAGGCTAGCAGGGTAGCTGAAAGATTGGTACATGTTTTATAGATAATGGGAGCTAGGTTTCTCACCATGAGGAGGGGATTTATAAACATGGAAAGGAGGAAGGCTAGCAAAAGCTATGAGGAGTGGAATTGGAAGTATCAATATGAACTCATTAGTTTTTATAACTATACAGATACAGAAATAGTTACATGTGTGTATTCATTTATTTCCTAGCTTTGTCCCACTGAAAAGACTTAGAAATAATGAATACCCACTAGCAATGAGCATAGGGAGCACCCAAATCTTAGTTCCTAAATATCTTTTACCACTAAAAGGAACCAATACATCTTGGGAAAAAGGGCTGATTCTTGGGCTGGGGCCCAAGAAAGAACAAGATGAGCCTAGAGTATCTTCTTAGGCCAGAAAGTATGGAAGTGCTTACAGAATGATGGGGAAGGTCAGGAGGACATTTGTCCCACTGGCCAAATCAGGGACAATTTTTGGGACAAACTGAGTATCAAAATAAATGAGAGAATTAGATCACAACCCATTGGATAAAATAGATCCATACTGTATAAATAAATGAATAAATAAAGGAGATAGAAGGGAAAGTTCTTCCTTCCTGTCTAATACTAACTGGTAAATGTAGAGGGCATGCTGGAAATAGATAATCACCATTTGGCAACCAACGTTGTGGTAGTTGTTACAGGCAGGAGTCCTCAAAGGATGCCAAGGCTCATGAGGGAACAAGATATTGGTGGGTAACACAATATCCTCTTGTAAAATACTATTCAAATAGAGAGGGAGAAATGGTTTCCTTTTTGGTAGAGAAAACAGGCAGATACCACCTTGATCAGGTGATCAAGATTAACATGCCCAGTGATCAGAGAGGACAACATAGCATCATTATGGTGGCATTCCTGTTTGGAATGCATTGCATGAGAAACCAGAGTACAGATCCAGATTGAGGGTCACTGTCTTAAATTCGTTCAGGCTGCTATAAGAAAATACCATAGACTGGTGGCTTATAAACAACAGAAATTTATTCCTCACCATTCTGGAGACTAGGAAATCCAAGATCAAGGTGCCAGCAGATTCAGTGTCTGGTGAGGGCCTGCTTCCTCATAGTCTTCTTGTTGTAACCTCACATGGCAGATGAGTAAGGGGTCTCTCTGGGGCCTCTTTTAAAAGGACACTAATCCCATTGATGACCTAATCTGCCCCCATGACCTAGTTACCCACTAAAGGCCCTACCTGAAAACTAATCCTCACATTGGGGATTAGATTTTGACATGTGAATTTTGGAAGGGCCTTAGCAGTCATCCTACAGAATGAATGTAAAAGAGGAAAGAATGTGGAACTGTTCCAAATTGGAAAAGACATGCTCTAGGCATGTTACAACTAAGTGCAACCTGTGTTCTGGATCGGAAAGATAAAAAGAGATATTGTTGGGATAGTTTGAAATTCAAATGGAGTCTGTGAATTGGGTAGTAGTGTTGTATTAATGTTGACTTCCTGGGTGAGAGGGTTATATGGTGATATATAAGGGAGTGGCCTTGCTTTGAGCAGGTACCAACAGTTGTATTTTGGGATTACAGTGCATCATGTCAGAAAAAGATGACGAATGGCTGGCTGGCTGGCTAGATTGATTTGTGCATATATATAAATAGAGGAGGAAGGGGAAGAGAGAAGGAAGGGGGTGAAGGCAAATGTGCAAAATATTAATAGTTGGGAAGGCTAGATGAAGGAGAGGTAGAAGTTCCTTGTGCTGTTCTTGTAAATAGTAGATTTGAAACTTTTTTTTTCAAACTACCTCTAAAAAATGATCATAAAAATGTTTCAGTCTACTTTTTTGCTTTGTTGTTCATTAGATGAGATCACAGCTAGTTTTCGTCGCTTTGGTCCTTTGATTGTAGATTGGCCTCATAAAGCAGAGAGCAAATCCTATTTTCCTCCTAAAGGTAATTCTCAAGATTCATTATACTTATACAATTTATCCTCAGATTGTTTAATGTTTAGCCTTTTCATAAATGTTTACTTTCACTGTAAAATAATTTTTTGTTTACTTATTTTCCCAAATGTATCTTTAAAATTTCTACTGAGTATACTTTTAATTCAAATTTAATTTTACTCTAAAAGATGTTTCAAGATACTATCAAAATGAACTATATGTTGGTATTATCAGACTTGTGGTATAAACATTAAGTTTTAATTTTTGTGTGTGTATATTTTTCGATTCCTTTTCCCTTCCTTTAGTTGTAGTTTATGCATCCTTTCCCCTGAAGAATTACCAAAAAATAGGAAAACATATAAGCCTTCTTTTTCATTTTTCTTAGGCTATGCATTCCTGCTGTTTCAAGATGAAAGCTCTGTTCAGGCTCTCATTGATGCATGCATTGAAGAAGATGGAAAACTCTACCTGTGTGTATCGAGCCCCACTATCAAGGATAAGCCAGTAAGTGCAGTCTAGCATTAAATAGCTTCTTGTTTTTGCCTCCATTCATCTGTTTTGTTTGAAAAACCCACAGACGTCTTGATGTGTCTGGTGTACTTAATTGACATGTTTGTAAGTAGAATCTAAATAAAAGTGTCTTGTTGTTAAGCTCCTAACATTGACATTCTGTTTATTTGTACACATCATTTTGACTTTGAATTTTTGGTTAGTTGAAATATAATTGGTAAACCTTTGCTTTTACTTCACTTGATAATGCATTTGATAAAGATAAAGTAGGTGAATTTCCTCTGAATAATGGAATTTAAATCACAAATATTTGTATGTCTTTCTGTTTCCTTCTTTACTTTCATCAAGATTTTACCCAATACTGTTTTTAACTTTTTGCGTATGGTACTCTCCCAAAGTAGAATGAATTATGTATATACATGTACAGGTGCATTGCATAGTGTTTTTTTCTTTTTGGAGAAGTTTTTTCTTTATCATAAAATTTAGTCTTTAGTAACAGTAGCAACTGGCCTGTTTTGATGAATCTGGCAAATCAATAATTTATTATTACTCAGACACACCTAAGGAATGGTGGGGCATGATGCAGAATGGATTCATCAGTGGTCCCAGCTTAGGCAATAATTATTGGAGTTTGTCTTGGTGTCTTGGGTTCTCTACGTCAGGAACGTTTTTCTAAGAGCTCCTGTAATCTGGATGCCTTTGCTTGACTTGTTTATGTTCCTTGTCAATCCTCACAGGTATTTGAATTTAGGGACTTTCGTCTAGGACTCTGTTGGTGTGCATATTTGGGAATATTCTACTATCAGCCCATAGCCTTTGGTGTGGGCATTTGTTCAGTCAAATGCGCTACCACTGACCTGTACCCCCAGGTATAGGCATTTGTAACAGTTAATACATGCAAACAATTTTAAATGAGGTACATGGTTCTTGATTGAGCTTAAATAATAGGCATACTGAAGTGTTTATCACAAAAAAGTCTGTTGCAAATATCATCAATATTTTTATTTTGAAAATCTTTTTGAAATAATGCAACAGATGTGTTACTATCAAGGGTAGTTTGCATTTCTTGGACATACATTGATTGGACACACAATCATAGTTGACTTAGCACTGTATACTAATTGACATTGGATACCATGCTACATTTTTTTATTTTTTAAATTTTTATTTATTTTAATTTTATTATTTTGTGTTTTCTTTTTTGTGTTTTTTTTTGTTTGTTTACCATGCTAAATTTAAATTATATAGATATTGGGAGGTTGGGTAGGCTAAAGGCCCAAATAAGCTGAAAAACAGCTAATTACCTTACAGATAATTAAGAACATGTTAAGTGATTTGGCTCATATTAATAACAGGCAATTAAATTGAACTTTCCACATTGGTTTCAAGATGAAAGTTCTTGAGTAAACTAAACCAATGAAACGAAGGGTTGGTATACACTATTTTTAAGTCTTCTAGTTTTATAGCTTTATTGATTTATAATGACATGAGTTATTGCTTTTAAAACATAAAAAAATACTCGTAAAATTTAAAATTTTTTCCTCCATCAATTGCCTATATTGAGAATGAGACATTTTCATTTGTACATTCCTCAGGTACAGATTCGGCCTTGGAATCTCAGTGACAGTGACTTCGTGATGGATGGTTCACAGCCGCTTGACCCACGAAAAACTATATTTGTTGGTGGTGTTCCTCGACCATTACGAGCTGGTATGATAAACACAAAACCCTCTCTATCCTTTAGCATAAGAAATATAAAGATTTGCAGGACAAATTCTCCATAAGCATTTCAATTAATGTCAAAGAGAGAGTTCTAGAATCAAAGTGTCTGGGTTTGAATTCATGTGTTCTGCTCCCAGTTAAGAGTTGAGTGACCTTGGACAAATCATATAATTTCTCTAATTCTCAATGTCCTCATCTGTCAAGTGGGGTAAAAAGTGTGTGTATTTCATAGAGTTGTTTTGAGGATTAAATGAGATAACCAATGCAAAGTACTTAGCGCAGGGCCTCATAATGCTAAGTATCACTCTCCTCACTGTTGGAAAGAAAAGCCCCTCAAGAACAGATGATGTATTCAGATGTTCAGTATTTGTTTCCCATGTCCTCACTTGCCCAGCAGCTATTTACTGAGCGCTGAAATACAATAGAGTTCTCAGCAGTGCACCATGTTTTTAGAATGGTACTTACAGAAGAAATTAGATCCCTGATTTCAAGTAATTTGAAGTTTAATAGTATAAATGAGGTAAATGAACAAGAATGCAGTCTCTAGACGGTTCATGGAGAAGAAGATGCATTCATTATTTCAAGTTTTTCTTTTTTATGATAAATTGGTTAATAGCTAGACTGTGGGAAAGATAACAGTTTAGATGGACATAAGCTAGGAGGGCCCCCAAACAAAGAATCTGCCAGTTAGTATTCTAGTGTTCAAATAGTTATTTACATTAATCAATACATTGTTAACTGGTAAATTTATGGTGGCAACATGGCATAGAACAGACAAACCTGGGTGCCAAGCCCAGCACTATCACTTAACAATCTGTGATCTTGGACAGATTGATCATCCTCTGTGCCTCAGTTTCCTCAGGAAATTGCTACCTACTTCACAGGGTTGTTGCGAAGATTAAAAGAAAACATTGTAAAATACCTAGCAAAGCCCCTGCCAATAGTTAAAAAATTAAAGATAAACGCAGTGGACAACTGGCTGTAGTAATAAGTTTGATTTTAATAATTATTATAATGATGTGAGCTCAGAGTACAAATGAATTGCTTTTGATGAAACCATTGGTAAGCCAGATGAATTTTCCTGATTTCAAATACCCTCTGCGCTCCTTTCGTATTTAGTGGAGCTTGCAATGATAATGGATCGGCTGTATGGAGGCGTGTGCTATGCTGGGATTGATACCGACCCCGAGCTAAAATACCCGAAAGGAGCTGGGCGAGTGGCATTCTCTAATCAACAGAGTTACATAGCTGCTATCAGTGCCCGCTTTGTTCAGCTGCAGCATGGAGAGATAGATAAACGGGTAAGTCCTAGACTCCATTCTTGAAAGTTCCAGAAATGGTCCTCTAAATGTGTCATTACCAAGATTAGAGTGGGGGGATTTTAGGTGATAATAAATTGACAGCTGACAATTAAGCCTATAGGGTCATTTAGATTTAGGCTCTATAATATATTTTGGAATTTCTTATGAATTTCTTTTATCTCTTAGTTTTTTGAGTAGCCTAACCAGAATACTATAATCAATTTACTTGAGTTAATTTGATCTTCCCTAAACTATAACTTTCATCTATTCAGTCAATTGTTTAATAAATATTACCAAATCCTTTGAACTATGTTATATCAAGTATACAAGGATGAATGCCCTTGAGAGCTCCTGACTTTTTTTTTTTAATCTGGGACATCATGAATACCTTAGTAAGACCTATTTCTCAGTGAATTGTATTCATAGATTTATTTTTTAGCTTTCTGTTTCATGCATTCAGCAAATGTTTTCTTGCCCAGGACAAGAAGTCCCTGTCCTCATGAGTTTATGTTCTAGAAGATAGAACCATATCTTACACCAGTATTACTCAAAGTGTGGCCTATGAACCGACTGCCAGTCTGCCAACTGTTACTAGTTTGTGGTCAGATAGGAATTTACACCAGAATGTTCATCAGCTACATTCCTAAGCACAATGTTTAGTTCAGCTGACGATTTTTTTCATGGAAAGGCCTTCTTTATGAAGGAAGCAATACGTTAATTTATATTGTTGTATAACCTCTTTATTTCTTGGCACACTGGCATTTTCATTAGCACTGACTTTGATATCCAACACTCTGAGACATTGTGCTCAAAAAAATATTTATTGATAGATTTTATTGTGCTGTTCTTAAATCAATATGTAGAAATGATCAAGTTTCTACATGTATATTCTACTTCATGTTTCCTGTCATGTATATTCTACTTCAGTGGCAGTGAAAAATTTAAGAAAATAGTGGTGCTCCTACATTACTGTGAATATATTAAAGAGAAAGGTGTGTATTCTATTATAAACATGGGGAAAGGGGACAAGATTAGTTGTAGTATAAGTTAACATGCCTAATTGTTTTTTATGCACACTAAAAAATATCTACATCTCACAGCTTCATTCCAACATAAGTTTCAGAGTTGTGAGATTAGTCATTAGAATTTCAGATTTAATTTGTGCTCCTCTGCAATGAAATCTTTTGATTGGCGTTCTTGCTCTGTGGATATTACAATATTATGGAGCGGCCTAGAAGTGAGAGGCCTAGTGCTGTCCTATCTCCTTACGGCTAACCTTTGTCAGGATCCTTGTCAGACTTGGATGGCACCAGTGGTGGTGATAGCCTGGTGTGAGGGAGTCTCAAGCATGAGTCTCTCTAAGACTAAAAATAACCAACTCTTTTCTAGCTGGTGAATTAATAGCCAGGTGACTTTTAAAAACTTGAGAGGTTCAAATGACAGGTTGGCAAATTGAACACTGGAACAGGCTCAGTTTTATCAATTCACCTCTGACTTTTAGATTCAGGTAAACCGTTCTTACTGACAAAGAACAAAGCAAGGTTTTAGGCTGCGAGTACTATGGCTGCATCTTATTTTACCAGAGTTCCAGGTTTGCGATTATAACCCAAGATGTATGCAGTAGAAATAGAAACCATGAACCAGGCTTTGCAACTCAGAAATTCATGATGCAGAAGTCAGGCATCTTCCCACTGATTTGAACACTGAACTACCGTTTTGTGGAACTTGGATCCTCTTAGTTGGTTTTGTTTAAATATGTGATTCCACATATGACAAAAAGCCAGATCCACTAATTAAAATGGGGGTTTGTATCTGTGAAAAATTTCCTGTGGGTTTAATCTCATGATGTTCTAGTCTAAACACTTGGCTTCACTTGGTGATTTTTGGTGAAACCCTTTTTTTCCTTTGAAGGGTATCTATTTAATAAGACTAAAATGTAAAATGATAGACATAAAAGCCTTACGAGGTTCTTAAAAGATGACCTATCTTGACTTCAGTAAGTGAATTATTAGTTCTTCCTTTTTGGGCACCTGGGAACAGACTCACTCACACAGTGGATGGAAATATACACATATGGTAAGTGTTACCTGGTCCAGTCACTGAAAAACGTCAACTCCCTTCTTTCACTTTTGATTGCAGGTGGAAGTTAAGCCATATGTCTTGGATGATCAGCTGTGTGATGAATGTCAGGGGGCCCGTTGTGGGGGAAAATTTGCTCCATTTTTCTGTGCTAATGTTACCTGTCTGCAGTATTACTGTGAATATTGCTGGGCTGCTATTCATTCTCGTGCTGGCAGGGAATTCCACAAGCCCCTGGTGAAGGAAGGCGGTGACCGCCCTCGGCATATTTCATTCCGCTGGAACTAAAGGATGACTACAGTGCTCATTTTCAGGCCTCAGAATAAGTGCACTCTTCTGTTCGTTCTTACCCCTTCCTCAACCTCTTCACGCTGGCATGTCCTTTTGTAGCAGTCTGTAACTTAACAATAGTATAATGAACAGAATGACCTATAATATAGGTGTTTTGTAGATTCATGTGTCACTGCAAACAATATGTATGAACTCCTTTTTCATATTGCCATCAGGTTGCATAGAAGTTTTATTCTCTTGTTTTGTTGGAGACCAAGAGGATCCAAACTTCCTGCAACTTTTTCTTAGAGGAGAGAGAGAAATATTAAAAGAGAAATGAAACAATAGAGTATTTTGGGTTTTTAATTAAATTATTGTTAATAATATAACATATAAGAATACTTTTATTAAAATAACCGTGCAACAATAACACTATCAGTCTATCTGACACAGTTTTTCCCCCAGGGAAGTGCTTTTGCCTTGTCCTTTCTTTTCTTCCATCTTTTTTGTCTCTCTCTTTTTTCCATCCCCTTTTTATTCTTTTAACAGCAATGGAGGAAGTTAACCATTTTTAACAGGAAAGAGCATGTTAGAGCAAACAAATGCATGAGCAAGATTGAGCAGCATTATAATTAATTTTAAGGGTTTTGAGGCTGATCGTAATTTCATTATCCCTCAAAGTTACTACCACATCAGAAAAAAAGAATAGTAAAGTCAGCAGAGCTAGATTTATTTTCTTTTAAACAGTTTTTAAAATTCAGAATGTAAAAATTGGGTAAATTTACTACTGAGGGGAGTGCACTTATTTATTTAACTTACTTATCTAGTCACAGCCCCAGGAAACCTACCAAAGCTAGAATTAGAGACAACTGGTGGGAAAGCTAGCATTTCCTTTCCTAAGGAACAAATGTAAAAGTTTTATTTTTGATGTTATATATAAACTCTGTATCCCAATTTACTAACACTCATCAGGTGTCAGCCTTTGCTCTCCATTTTGACATTAAAAAACACCAACAACAGATCTAGAGATACCTCAAGGATATCATTTTTGATTTTGTGTTATAATACACTTGTAGCCAAAACTGGAAGACAACCAATATACAAATTGGCTGCTGATTGGCTTACTTTTATATTTAAAGTTACTTTGGGTATCCTGTAATTTAGTTGTAACATAGAAAATGGAAAAAAAAAAAGTTAAGTAGTTGCAAAGTGTTTTGCACTGTTGAATTAAGTAAATGTGTAAATCTGTGCAAAGGTATGTATGTTTATCTTACTCTTCCTATAAAGTAAAATAACATTACAGTTTCAGAATTTAGCATGGGACATAGTCAGTGTTTGAAGTGCCAACTTCATCAAGTAATGCATGCTTTATTATAAATAAAATTCTAGCTTTGAAAGGTGTTATGTGTTGAACAGTATGCTTCAGGAGTAAATTTAAAATAGTCTCTTGAAGCCCTAGTCATGGAAGTAACTTTTATTTTAATTGACATTCTCTTATTAAATGCCCTATCCATCATTAAAAGGATTATTATCAGTGGGCAAATTATTAAATAATAATAATAACAAAACTGAAGAGCAATCTTGCTAGTTGTGCTACCTAACAGTACCATCTTGGATCCTTCAAAACCAAAGACTTGCTCCAGCGCTGCTGTGGAACCACCTGGCTGATGACCCCTACTGGTGATCTTTAGGAAAAGCAGTCCTTTATTTTTAATACAGGCTTTAATGAACGATACCTGTTAAGTTCCAAAGGTCAAAATGGAGGCATTTGCTGTCTAATAGTCAAACATAGAAAGGGAGCTGCTTTAAAGAATTCCCTGCAAATATCGAAAGCAGTCATGCGAATGGAGGGTGCTCTTGTGTAGCTGGTCAGGGACTTTTTTTTCTTTTCTCCTGAACTACATAATTCTAATTGGAATGTTCATTTGCCTCTTCTTATTCTTTTAAATGCTTGTAGGTGGCTTGGGGTGTGCTATTGTGCTGTTCCTACTCAGTAAACAGGTGTGATGAGTTAACAAGAAATAACACTGTTTGAGAACTAGCTTTGAATAATAATTTTTCCCTTTGTACATGACCTGCTGAATTTCGGTACAGTGTTTTTGTAGCTAACTTATTTTGTCATGCACATAATGTATATTTGTTATGCACTACTTTTGTATATCTTGTTTTTCCAACAGTGAACATTTTTAGGCACACTTTTCACTGACGGGATATCTCTTTATGCAATACCTCAATTTTTCATATTGCAAAGAGTAGCTTTTTGTACTTTTATTACTGAGAGATCTTCATATACTTCATTTTTTAATATAAATAATTTTAATAAATTTTATTTTCTTATATTCTGCTTTTTATACATTTCAGTGCTCTGCATACATTTTAAATTATGAATGTTGTGCACTGGCAATGCTATTTTAGAGTCTGCAGAGAAGAGAAAGCATGTTGCTTAAACATTCTTCCCCAGCACCAGCTATTGGTGTACCTATAATTTAAGGAATAGTCTATGTAAAGTCACAAATTAATGAAAAAAATTCGCATGAAAATGACAGATAACACTGTAGTTCCTTAAAAAAAATTAAATGCATAAACATAGGGTAGAAATTTAAAATAACAAAATTGTCTACAGCTTCTTACTAAGTTTTTAAAATTATTCATAAAATGCAGACATTTTTGGTGAATGTTAGCCATTTTTAATATTAATAAATTGATGTTAAGTGTTTGATTCAGAGATGTCTGCTCTTTTAAATTATATATAAGAAAAAAAAATAGCCTGCCGTGGGACAGGTGTGTAATGTTAGTATGCATGACTAATGTAAGAAATTGTTATTCTACTAATATTTACTTGTGATTGTGTGACAAGTGTGTTTACAGATTATTTGGTTACACTTCAATTTACAGGGCATAAACAATGATTATCTATTACTCTGAACTTTATTGATTACATGTTCGTCAGATTACATGGGATTGTAGTTGGGAGTTACCATGTAACTCAAACATAATTAACATGTAATTAGTTTACAGATTTTAGGGTGTCACTTCAATTCACCAAGCATGTAGTTCTAGCGCACTAGCATGGCACCAGCCATGTACTTACAATGTAGTTACAGAGTAATTACATGGTTATTTTTGCAATGTAAAATAAAGTGTTTCTGATTATTTTCTATGTAAAGGAACCCTCTCCTTTCCCTTTCTGGTCCCCACGCTTTGGTATAATATATATACTTCTCCATACACAGACCTCTGCAGAATGCAAAATAAAACTTGCAGTGAATGAATTTAGCATTTTATGAGAGTGCTGTTGGAAAGACTTGATAATTCACCCCTTTTGTTTTGAAGAGTTGAATCTTCTGTTAAAAGGTGATTTAAAACTTGAATGTGATGAATTGTGGCAAGTTAACTTCAAGTTATGTGCAATACTTATTTCAAACTTTTGAAAGATCTTTGCAGTGTAATTCTTTGTTTTTAATTGCAGACATTTAAAAATGTCATTTTCTACTGTTAAGAGTAATCCTCTTTCTTGCTGGTGTTTCTAAAGAAAAGAATCAGAAATCAATCTTTCTACTAATGTAAATTTGAGATTATTTTTAAAAATGGAATAAAAGAGGTTTTGGTCATTTGCTTTATTTTATTATCTTATTTTAAAGCTACTGTGATTGATAGCATTGTAAGAATCGGGACAATATTGTATTCAACTGTTTTATTTTTTATATTTTTAAAATTTAAAGTATAATTAGTTTTTATAATTTTCATCAGATTTTTGTTATATTTTTTGGAAGTGAAACTTTTAGCAAGTGGGTGTCTAGTTTTTACTAATCCCTAATTTTTTTTTCCAGTGTATTGCTCATATTATCAGAAGGAAAAGTTATTTAAGTATGTCAGTTAATTGTACTACTTGGCTGAATTTCCATATAGTTTTTACTGTGTATGGGGAGGTTGTAGTATTTATTATAGCATTTTAAATAAGGGTAATTCATTTTTTATTAAAGTCATTTTCACGTTAAGTTCCTATTTTTGTATGTTCTACTCTTAAGTTATATAACACAGTTCCTTTTTTAAAAGAGTTCATTTGTTGAAGTGCTAGTGGAAAATTAATGTTATTAAATAGTTTGCAAATGACTATTTATACCAGTATGCATATAATTTTTAAATATTTGTAATGTGAGATGTTGAATGAATAAAACTTTTAACTCAGATTTATTTTAATATACTTATTTCTTTTCAACATAGGTAGATTATGCTTCCATGATTGGGAATATAACATTTAAAAATATTAGGAATATACTACTGAGCCAAGGCAGAATAAACCAATATGAAAAAATGTTCAGTCACGTGAATACTCGTGGCAAGGGTGCCTAGCTTGGGTAAGCCTCTGGATGTCGGCGGGTGGTTGTGTCTTTGGCCTGTACTGTTAGTTCACCTGCTGCCCTGCAGAGTCTTTTTATCTGTAGCCTTCAGTGTGTACACGAGGTGTCAGCCCAGGATCTAAGCATTCAGTCACCAGCTTAAGGCCAAATGTCCAATAAAAGTAAAGAACCAGTGTTTGTTTAATAATGAAAGTCAGTATCTGGGAAGTCCAGTTTTGGGTCTTTGTCAATGAAGAGCCTTGATTTCTGGCCACTCTACAAGGGGACTTGAAAACAAGTCTCTTGACTTTGAACTCCTAATTCTTCCCTAGACCCTAACGTAATAGGATATGGCCTCTGGGATTATAATCTCCATAGCATGTCAACTGAAAATATTGTCAAGTCTGGGCACAGTGGCTTATACCTATAATCCCAGGACTTTGGGAGGTAGAGGTGGCAGGATCCCTTGAGTCCAGGAATTTGAGACAGCCTAGGCAACATAGACCCCCATCTTTACAAAAAATAAAATAAAATATTATCTTCGATTTGATTCATTAATCATATAGACTATCAAATACCATAATGTATTAATATTTATATTTTAAACTACATTTTCAAACTTCCAATTTAAGGATTTATTATAACAAAATATAGCACTGAGAACATCCTATTTTGTCAAATTTAATATCTTTCCTATCTCAAGACTAGAAGAAGCAATTCTTGTCCTGAAGCAAGAAGACTATGAGATCTTTTGTTTCTAAATGGTCTTTCCCCACATGCAACTCTTTCAACAACTGGGATTCCTGAGAGGAAGGGCAGGGCCAGCAATGCTTAGGGCCCCCCAGGAGTGCCAGGTGACAGAAGTTTTGGCTGGACAGCTTCCCCTCCCTCTTATGTGGCAATACACAACCCTTAAGAGTTCAATGAAGGGCCCTGAGGAGGCCTTTGGGACACAGGAGACGTGGGTGGCATTTGATTGCCACCTATATGATATCCCTAGGCATTCTGGGGTGGTTTCAGCATTTTAAGAGGGAAAAAAATAACACAAGTATATTCAGTTTATTTTAGGAAATATGTATTGTAGGCAAATGATAACTATAAGTGTTACAACAACCCTATCTTGAGATAATATATAGGTGCAATACTTTGGGTATTTTAAGTGACAGAACAGTGAGGCTGGGAAGGGTGCGAAGGGCTCCCTGGGCTGTATTTCCTTATTCACCTAAACCCACCAGACAGGGAAAATTCTCTAATCCATGCTCAACAGTCCAGCTATTTCATAACTTCTTTTGCTAATGGGTTTGTGTCCACATCCAGTTCAGAAGAAAATAAGTACTTTTTTTAGGGATTTTTTTTTAGTTTGAGAAATACTCAAAGTCTTACAAAAAATCATGGGGAAACTAAATTCCTGATTTTAAAAATTAGGGAATATTAAAGGTGTCAAGTGAGTTAAAAATATTTAAGGGGTAATTATTTTCTGACATGTGTAATGACAGAACAATAAACAAGAAGAAACTCTAATATTCATTTCCCAAATTGTGATCTTCAGAAGACTAGGATAGTCTTTTCCACAAGGAAAAAAAAAAAATAATAACGTTTTATCATTAAATAAGCTTAGAAAATGAGGCACCCTGTTTCTTGGAAAAGTCAAATTAAATAATAACACATTAGGTTGTTAAGGCTCTGAGAAGTTCTGCAGTAAGGAAACCTGTTTACTTTGTTGAATGTGTGCCCCACCCCCAATTTCTTTGCTTACAGACTCTGGGTACAGGTAACAGAGGATTCCATGGTGCATACTTTGAGATATACCACTTGAACATTTTAGTGTATTTACTCAGGTCAGGAAGCGTTAGAAACCTCACTTTGTTGTTGTCATCCATATGTGTGCCCTGTAAGGGGGTTTGTCCACATTTATTTTACTGGAGTTCTAGGTACTTGCCTATCTTCTAACTCCTGTCCCATTTCCAATGCATCTTCTTAACTCCCTCCTCCTCCTCCTTCCATCCCAGAAAAAGAGAAGTTAATGCTGTACAATAGAGCTCTTTTGATTATGCTGTTCCCTGGCTCACACCATTCTGCTTCTCATGAGGACCACAAATACCACTTCAGACAAGCAGCCTGTGCTTTAAATCCACCCTTCCATGATATGCTGTCTACCTTTCTGATCATTCATACCATTTCCTCCTTTAAAATTTTCTTTTGCAAACTTCCCTCAGCATCCCCCACCCCCATTCCCTGAGAATTGGGACCACTTGCTTTGAATAAACTCTAAGAATTCAAAAAACAAACATTTGTGCCCCATGAGGTAAACTCTTATCTAGCAGTACCGATTTGGTGTTTCTTATTAGAGAACATTTTGTTTTGGCATGCCTTGAGTCTTCTCAGGATGTCTTAAGTTCTAATCTTTGTCTAGTCGAATTTTGGGTGTCATTGTTGGCTGTCTGGAAAAAGTGTCTTATTGTGATTCAGCGTGGTGACCAGAGTTAGAAAAGTACAGTTTGTCTCAAGGAAGTTAAAAATGAACAGCAGGGTCCAAACCCAGAGTGAGAGTGAACCACCAGTGTTTTGTATTGTGTACCATCTGGTCACGTGGCAGAGAAAGCTGCTTGTGGGTAGATGGGGGTGGAGGGTGGTGAGTCAGTGACTACACATGCCAAAAGCTTTCTTTATCCTTTTCATTGGAGTTCTATTTCAGGAAGCAGTGCTTTGATACCTTAAAAATGTCAATGTGATCAAGCAAATGTCACCATTTTAAAGAGATTATTTTCAACTCCTCTACCTCCCTGCAATATCAAAAGAGAGAAAAAGAAAAGAACCGAATATACCCAGTAATGACGCCCCAGAACCCACTAAAGGCAATAGGGCATTTAAAACTCGTTCTGAAATAAGTTACCCAAGCAGAGAGCTGGGAGGGGCGGTGGTAATACAAATCTGTGAAGTTTTTAGGTAGAATCTAGTGAAGACCTGAAGACTCCTTGCTTGGAGGAATGGAGGCATAATTCACCTCATAGTTGAGGGAAAGTGATGTGGCCGCTTGTGGGCTTAACTATTGGAAGATTTGACTCCAAGGACCTGTTGGGGTGGGGTGGGGATTGGCGGTGGGAATGTGAAATGGCCTCATCTATGGGATGACTCTTGGCACCCCTGACTCTGCAGTGACTGAATGACTTGGTCTGAAAGAGGGAACTAGTAATTGCTGGTCACCTGTTATATGTCGGGCCCTTACATTCATTAGCAAGGTGAGTTACTGAATAGAATATAGAACCGTCTCATGGAGAAAGTGGGTGACTTGGTCAGAGCCACGCACACATATCTAGGACACAGTGAAGCCTAGATCCCAATTCTCATTTACCAAATCCCAATTCCTTCCCCTATAAACCAAGCTGGATTAGCAATGGACGGATCAGGATTAAAAAAAGAAAGGAAAAGAAAAGAAAAGTTGGATTTTGTTTTTAAAACAAAAGTTTTATTCCTAAACCTAATCTGGGTGTAAGTGTCATTTGAAAGTATAGAGATGGGATGATAAGACGAAAGTTGTAAGAGAGGCTGTGAGTTTTGATGGAGAGTCCTAAAAGAGGTCACTTCCTCTCTAAGAGCTGACTCTCAGGAGATCTGCTCAAGGTCACGGAGTTGGCTAGTGGGGGCCCAGATAAGGAGGGCAGATGGAAGGCCCTGAGTTCTGTCACGCACGGGGGCTCAGGTCTACCTCTGCAGTTCTTACCTGCCCAAGTGGCCTCCATGAAGCCTGTGACTGTGGTTCGGTGGCCAGAACTGAATGGTATACGTTCTCAGGAGTCAGGAGGGGCAAGGTAGTTGAAATGCCATTTCTGCTCACTTTGAGGAAGTACAGTATGGACTTAGTGCATATCCTCATTCTTGATTCAACTCCCAGGGGAACACACATCAATTTGGGGTAGGAAACAAGGTAAAACAAGTGCCCTTTTCTGTAGTATCGTGAACCCACAAATTCCAGAAACACAAACAGTTCTGGGAGTGGGAAGAATGGCTGCTAGCACTGATGGAGTGCTTGCCAAGTGCCAGGAATGGTGCTCTAGGCACCTCTTTTCAACTCCCCACAACCCTATGAGAGGGGTACTGTTATTATCCTCATTTTAAGGTGACTGAAGTTCAGAAGGATTAACCAATCTGCAAAGCCAGTATTCAAACCCAGGCACGGAGGTTTCTGTTTCACCTCACCTCTCATGAATTTCCAACCTAACACATTTTGTCAAAATTTCATTTTCCCCCCTGCATGGATTAAAAACTCACCA